TTGATCATCTTCTTTCTATGTGTTGCTACTTGTTATATTTGCTTTTAAGGACCAATAATTTAATATCACATATTCTTTAAATGTAATGTATTTCTAAAACATTGGGAGTTATGTTAGATAATAATACTACCTTACTGAAACAATAAAAATTTGACTCTAAAATTTATCGAGATATGCTTGCTACATGCATTATTAAACATAATCTTCAATTTAACTATGTTGAGTATGAGCAAGTTGTGGAGGTAAATAAAGTGTTGAATATTAATTTTAAATTAATTATTATAAACTCTTCAATGACAAAAGTTTATAACATGTATTTAATAGAAAAGAAAAAGTTAAAAGATATGTTTTCTAACATTTATAATGGGATATGTTTGATTTTTTTTATATATAGACAATTATAACCGCTCAAGATTACATTATTGTAACAACTCATTTTTATGATTTTATACGATACAATTTTAATCCATGAAACTTTATACGATGTTATTTTATAATTTTATTTTATCTAAATAGGTTATGATTTAATTTTAAATAAATAAATGAATGACATATTATTTTTTCAAACAAAATTTAAAATTTTATATAAATAAAATTTATTTTTAATTAACAAATAATGACTCATTAACCCATTGGTCTAACATAATATCGGTTATGTAAAAATTTTAACTCATTTTACAAATATAAGTTAGGTTAGATCATCAGATTTTTTTTTTATCCATAGAACCTGACTAAATTAGGTTGAACCACCCATTTTGACAATATTATTAAGCAACTCATTTAACATTATTTATTAGGAATAATTAAATAGAAAAATAAAATAATTTGTTAAAAATCTAAAATTAGAAAAAGTAATTTTTTCTTATGATTGATTATTCTTTAAAAAAATAACATTCTAATAAACAAGGTTTTCTAGAATTATCAATTTTTCATATTTTTCCGAGTTAAAATAAATACAAAATATAACGTTTAGTAAATTATTTAATGTGGTGAGAAATCTAAAGTTTTTAATAAAAATAAGACATTATTTTTTTATTTCTAAAAAATTAAATAATGCTTTTTTTAACGTTAATTTTTTATCCACCGATTTCCGACGAATCATAATTTTCTGCATTCTTATCAATTTTACGGGTTGTTTAGTCACATAAATAATAATAATAATAATAATAATTAAAAATAGAAATTCAATTATTAGCATCATCTAATAAATTAGTGCTAGTAACATTTGTGTGCGTGGGTGATGTGTCAATCAACATTTGATTTATCAAGTCAAACAAAATTCAAAGATTAGCCGAAAACTGAATTAAAAATAGAATAATTAGCGAAGTTTTTTTTAAGATTTAAACAAATATTCCTGTCCTATATACATACTATACTATTGTCATAGGTTCCAGCTTACATCTAACTATTAGATAGTTTACAAATCATATGAAAGTCAATTTATAAATATTTTATTTTCTTAACTTATAGAAATATTTTTTTAAATAAAATTATAAGTTTAAAAATAAGGTTGATTTAAAGATGTTATTAGATAGACTAATATATTATAATAATATTATTATAATAAATTCTCTTATTTTTAAAGGAAATATTTTATAGGGTTGAAAATAATAGAAAAACATGACTTAAAGGGGTAAATTGAATTTGTAATTTTTTTTTGAAATTTAATAAATTAATTGAATTTCTTATATAATTAATTTGAAAAAGAATTTGAGATATGTTAAGGTTTCAAAAATATCAAGATAAATGAAAAAAAAGATAAGACGAGGACAAAGATTCCTTTAAATCTATATTTAGTTATTCAAACAACATTAGATTAGAATTTCCACTAAAATTTTCCACTATCTAGATTACAAGATAACTTGTAAATCTTGACTAAAAACATATTTAAGAAAAATCACAATACTAATGTTAACCATATAATTTTCAAATTGTTTTGTTTATCTTATAAATATCACGTTAAACAAAGATTTACAAAATAAAGAAATAAAAACAAATTCATCTAAAAACTTTAAAATATAGAATTATAGAACTAAACGATTTTACCTTTGAAATCATTTCTCAAGATGTTTTATCGATTTAAAATATTGCCTTGATATTACTAAAAATTTCTTTAACCATGCTTTGATCGTTTCTTAATATATGTATAATTGATTAAACTTTTAATTTTTTTAAGAATTGAAATCTATTACAATTGATTAAGATATTCCATTAACAACAAATATAATCGATTATTTAAGTGGACTAACAAACTAAAAGTAAGTAATATAAATCGATTAGGTACTAATCGATATCAATGCATGCTATTAGAATAGAAATATAGTCACATAATTCATTAAGCAGCAATATAATCGATTATTAACATATAATATGAAAACATAAATTTAAGTCATATAATCAATTAAATATTAAAAATTAAATATTAATATAATTTATTAATACATAATTAATTAATTGAGTTTTAATATTGATTAATTATTTTAACTTTTTACCTTTTTTTATTTTTCACAAGAAATTGAGACATCATTAAAAAACATAATTCTTCAATCATTTTTCATTAATAATCAATACAATTTTGTTTCACTAACATTCTTTAATATTTTATTTTAGGATTATGTTCAATATATAATTAACGACTTGTTAAAAATTATGTTGTATTAGAATTTCAAAACAAATAATATTATCAATATTTTTAATACTTCAAAGGTCATTATTATAATAAATTGAGATTATACCACTATTATTCCTAAGTAAAACATTCATCTCCCCTATCAAATTCAAAACATTTCTAACGGTTTACTTTATATATTAAAAATGTATAAATAAAATATTTTATAAATTAATTATCAAAGAACAATAACTATATTAAAAATAATATTTAACTGCTCAAATAATTTATTTTTATTATAATATAATATTATTAATAATAATTTTTTTAAAAGATAATTATTCATTTAACCTAAAAATTAATACTTTTAAGTTTGTATGATAATATCTCGATTATTACGAATTTCTTTTATTTATTAATTATTATATATTAACTCATATTATACTATAATTTTATTATATACATTGACTTAAAGATCAAAATATCCCATGGATTTTTATCTAGTGCTCAGTCATACTATGAAAGTTTTTTTCATCATTAAAATTCACATATAGCCTCATAAAATGTTCCATCATACGTCATTATGAGATTTTCATTAAAATTCACGTATAAAAGTTATATCTCATTAATTGATTTAATAAGAGATGTTCTTTTATAAGAACACTATCCTTAATTCTCAACTGTAAAACTAATTTTTATGTTAATCATCTTTAATAATATTTTTAATTTACAGTATAAAACTGTTTATATTAAGAGAAAAAGGCGAAAGAAAAGATAAGATAAATATTTATTTATTTATCTATTTTATTTAAAATAAAAATATTGTATAATATCTATTTCTATCTAATATAATATAGTATAATAGGTAAAATTAACTTCTTTACATATTTTTGTCAATTTTAATATTTAAAATTTCAATTGTTTTATTATTTTTATTTGTCCAATCGAGAATAATTTTTTTATATAAAAGAAGTTTATAATGAATTAATATTTTAAATATAAATTATATTATTAAAATTCATAATAAATTATTTTTTACATATAAATTATATTTTAGGTGCTAATAATAATTTACATTGTAAAAAAATTCATTTTAAATATTGATAAACATTAAATTTAAACTTAAACATAAAAATTTGATATAAATAAATAGTTAAGAAAAAAATTCTTAAACACGTTTTCACTGGAAAAAAATCTCTAAAAATCTTTGAAGAAATATTTAGAAAAACTGCTTTCATTCGAAAAAAATAATGTTTTAATTTTTTTATTTGAATATGTCAAGCAGTATTTTAAGTTGGGAATGATTCCATTTCCATCGTATGATATAACTCTCTCTCTCTCTCTCTCTCTCTCTCTCTCTCTCTCTCTCTCTCTCTCTCTCTCTCTCTCTCTCTCTCTCTCTTATATATATATATATATATATATATATATAGTTTTCCTTTATTTGTCTCACTTACTGCAACTGTCAGGTATCATCTCATGAGTGTCTAACAATTATTTTTATGAATAGAATAAAATGAACACATTCAATTTGTCAGATCATCCACCAAAGACAGGACAAAGAAATCGTGACTTCCGATGTCATGTTCCCATTCTCTCAAATTTTTTTTATCGACACACAAAAAAACAATTTTCACATCGGAACAAGTTATCTAAGCCTGCACACAGAAATAAATAAATAAATAATATATATATATATATATATATATATATATATATATATATATTATATACTTTTAATCAGATGAATTTATCATCACTAGTTAAATAAGATTATACAGATAAAATAAAGAAAACGAGAGATTCAAAGAAAAGTCATGCGAATAATAATTTTCTTCCATGAAAGCAATAATTGATTAATTGAAAACGTCAACTACCATCCAACCAACCTAAAGTCCTGCACCGTTCAATTTACATCTGTTCAAACATATACTCCAACCTTCACTTTTAAGTCCTTTTCTATCCAATATTTGTTTGGTTAAACTTTTGTTTTAGGTTAAACAAATTACCTTTACAAAAATTATACAACATCTTAAAAGCCAAGACCAAAATAATATTTTTTAAATTAAAATAAGTTTAAAAAATATTCTTAATGCAAAGTGTTTTATTCTTGAGTAGTGCCTGTAAACAGTTCCATTAAAGATGCATTAATAGATCTGAAATATTTCTGCAAAATAAGCAGAAGAACATATTTTAAATTTGAATATATATATATATATATATATATATATATATATATATATATATATATATGTTTTTATTGATGTTAATAAAGGATGAAGAAGAAAAAGTGAAGGTGTTTTGGCATAGTCGTTAGTTACCATTAGCAACAATACAGATGGAACCAGGACCAGAAGAAGTGTGAGAATAGAAGAAGAGGGAAAAAGAAAACATGTGGGAAGGGAGAGATGTATTGTTGTGTTTTGTAATTTCCCCACTGAAAATTCTGTGGGACTCTCTCAGAATCATACACTCCAACAAACTCCTGTTCTGTTCGATTCTGTGTTTCGCCACGCTCCCTCTGTCGTTTCTAACTTTCAGGCTCGCCATCTCCACCCACGACCTCCGCTCCCGAATCTATCACCTCGAAGCCCTCGCGCGTGTTGTCTCCACGCGCGTGGAGGCTCGCCACGTCTGGCACGAGTCCCGCGACACCGCCAGTTCGCTCATGTGGACGCGCTTCTTCTTCGCCCTTCTCTCTTTCCCCCTTTCTCTCACCGCCGCCGTCTTCTCCATCCACACAGCCGCTTCTGTCGCCCATGGAAACCCTTCCTCTGCCAGGGCTGCCAATTGGAAGCGTCCCGCCGTTACTGTCGTCTTCGTCTACGTCCTCCTCATGGCCTTTGGGCTCGTGCCACATATCCTTGACATAACAACTTTCGGGTTACCTGTATGGATCCGGGCCCTTACTCGGATAATCATGTTGGGTGTTGAGGTTTACCTTTTATCATTTATGAGTCTCGGAATTGTGGTTTCTGTGGTGGAGGATTCGGTTGGGTGGGATGCTATTCAGGTCGGGTATAGTTTAATTCGCGGAGAGAGGGTGTGCGGGTGGGTTCTCTCGGCCTTGTTCGTTTTGGTTTCGGGTTTGATGAATCGAAAAGTCGAAGTGATGTTGGAGAGTCAGAATTCGGAGATCGGTGTTTGGGACAAAACATTTTTGATTTGTTCATATGCGTTGGTTGTGGTTTTTAGTTACGTGGTTGCTACTGTGTTTTACTGTGACAGCCGAAGACGACACGACCACAACATTAAGGAATCTCAAGATGATGAAATTGAAGACTGTGTTGCAGATTTATCAGAACTGTAATTTTTTTTTTCTTTTCAGATTTAGCTGAATATCTTTAGTACTCTTTTATGCTTTTTTTGGAAAAAAATGTATTAACTAATTCTTAAAATGTATATGATACATAAGTGCAATAAGAGTGATGAACTTTAACAACATTTTCCATTTTTACGTCATATTATTATTTATTTTTTACTCTTTAAATGTAAAGGTATCGTTGACAAATATTTAGTAAGACTAGGTTTCAGAAATTGTTTTCAATGACAACAAATATCTAGATATTTAGTTTGATTTTTAAAGTGTTATATATATATATATATATATATATATATATATATATATATATATATATATATATATAAATGCGTTTTAATCATGACACACAATTTTCTTTTTGAAAAAATATGTTAACGAATGAAATATCTCTACAACTTGAATTCTGGAAGATTTGATAAGATATGACATCTAATTTTTACGTATCTAGAAAGCTTTAGATATATTTTTAAATAATTTTCAAGATTTATTCGGGTCTTATAGTAAAATAAATTTTAATTGGTACAATTTGTTTTAAATAGTAATTTGTTTAAAATATATTTGCATATTAGATTGATAATTTTTTAATAAAATACCCCAAATAAAATAAAAAGGTTGTGATAATGTATTTATCTCACGTATTAGTATTTCTTATTTTAGAAATGAGGTCTTTTTACTTTCATAATTTTTAAAAAGAAAAACAAATTTTGATTTCACAATCATACAACTAGTTTAGGATCATTACATTCCACCCTGTTAAAATGATTGATTTATGGTTGAAAACTTGATTAAAAATCTACTTATTGTTTTAAATAACTAAATTTTAATTAAATTGAGATAAAATTGGTAAAATTGAAAAAATCGAGTGAATTTTTTGTCGAACCAGTTTTGTTAAAAATAAATATTTAGGATCAATTTTTTTTAATATAATTTTATTATAAAAGATATAACATATTTTAGTTTTTATTTATCTGATATTAATTATGTAAACTTTAAATAATAATTATTTTATTTTAACAATTATCAATTTTTCACTCTAATATATTTTATATTTATAATTTTTATTATAATTTATGGTAGTAATCTTTATCATTATTTTTCTTTCTATAAAAAATATTATTACTAATAAATTTATTATTGTTTCTAGTGGAATTTCGATCGATTTAGACTCTTAAGATATTTTGATCCTAATCAAAATTCTACCACGTAAGTTCTTTTTACTTAGGCTAGCAAATTAATTTTCAATCGAGATGCGTATGAGGATCGAATTTTGCCCGATTTCAAAGATACTATTTTTGGTGTTTTATATTTAAAGTGTTCGAAGTAAAGAAAGCAGAAAAATTCGTGGAATCGAAAAGCAGTGTTGAAACATTAGATTGCAAAGAAACGTAACATGCGGAAATCTTAAATTTGCTTTAAGTATAAAAGACAGGGAATCGAAACAGCAGAAATGTAAATAACAGGAAGTATAAATGACAGTAAATCAAATGTGCAGAAAGTATAAATAACTTGGAAATCGAAATTGCATTAATGTTAAATGACAAGAAAACTTAAACGCGGAAACTTAACTTTCATTGAATTGAAATGACCAAAAATCGAAAGTACAGGAACATAAAATTGCTAAAGATAAATTGCATCAAAGTAAATTACCAGGGAAAATACAGAAAACGGTAAAGGTACTCAATGAGCATGGAAATCCAGATTGCCAGAAGCTTCATGATGTTCGTCGTTTCTCCGGTAGACTTCTCACTAATGATTCTGTTCTCTGCCAATTTTTTGCTCCTCTTTCCTTTCATCCTTCGCCCTATTTATAGAGCATCCTTTAAGCAAGTAACTTCTTAAGAGCAGTTAATGAAAACTGCTACCACGTCCTACGTGCATGTTGCAGTTTCTTCTTCGGTGTCAAAACTGCACCCACGTTCCCATGATCTTCGACTTCTGTCATGGTTTAAAAACTGCCTTCACGTTCCCATACATGAGGTAACTGCTTCTTTGACCGACCTTTGCCATCGCTTGCTGTTAGAAAAGTAGTTTTAAATCAAGAGGGGGGGTGAATTGATTTTTGAAAGTTTTTCGCAATAAACAGATTATCTAATTCGAAAATTAAGTTTACTAATCAATTCACGAATCACAAAGCAATTAAACAATACAAGCGCAACAACTGAATTTAAAGAGAGAAAGGTTAGGAAAGATTTCACCGGTAATTTTATACTGGTTCACCCAATACCAGGGCTACGTCCAGTCTCCAGCCAAATTCCAGCTGGGTTCCACTAGAATAGATGTTTTACAGACTCAACAATCTTACACCTACTCTAACACCAGAACCAATTTCCAGTTCCTGACTTTAACCTTTCCACCAAGAACCAAATTCCAGTTCTTGGAAACCTCTGCAACCAAATTCCAGCCGCAGAGAACCCAGTACCCAAATTCCAGGTACCAAACCTTTCACCAAGAACCAAATTCCAGTTCTTGAAAACCTCTACAACCAAATTCCAGTTGCAGAGAAACCAGTGCCCAAATTCCAGGCACCAAACAGTACAAGAACCAAATTCCAGTTCCTGTACTCAACCTCTCCACCAAGAACCAAATTCCAGTTCTTGGAAACTTCTACAACCACCTACCAGCTGCAGAAAACTTGTACCCAAATTCCAGGCACAACACAATACAAAGTAATGAAAAAGAATTTACAAAGAAGAGACTTAGAAAGCTCAAACCGGATTACTCTAATCCACAGTAAGTTTCTTCTTCACAGAATGCAATATGCCTCAAGAAAGATTTCAAAAAGAACTTCACAAAACAGTTGTAATTCTTTCTTGGAAAAAGATGCTTAACAGTTGCTTGAATTGATTGCTTTGTTTCTGTAAAAACTGATATTCAATCTGTTGTTTCAAAGTTTCAAGCAAAACTGTTTTTAAAGAGAATTTTCAAATCTGCTGCATTAATTAATCTGTTGAAAGTTTGTTTTAATCTGTTGAAATAGCCGTTATAATCTGTTAAAAGTCCTTTCAACCCATTAATGCGTTCTTGCTTCTTTAACAGAATCGTTTTAGCTGATACGACCACTTTTATATCAGTTAAAACATTTTACAAACTTTTTCTAAGTATAAAACAATCGATTGAATCACGTATTAATCGATTGATTTGTTTAAAAACCTTCTTATAAAACTTTCCAAGTTATTTTAGCTGATATAAAGTCGTTTTAATCGATTAAAAATCTGCACATATATTTTCAAGTCATTTTAATCGATTGAAAGTTCGTTTTAATCGATTGTAAAGATTTTCTAAGTTATTTTAATCGATTGAAATACGTTTTAATCGATTGAAATAAGTCTGATCGGTCATAATTCAATTCTGATCGATCATAACCAACTCTGATCGGTCATAATTTCATTCTGATCGATCATCCTGACTTCCAAAGTGGTTTTAATTGATTGAAACGTGTTTTAATCGATTAAAATAAATCTGATCGCTCATTTTTAAAGTCTGATCGATTATATTTCATTCTGACCTGTCATATTCGAATTCTAATCGGTCATAAAGGGTTTTAATGGGTTTTAATCGATTAAAAGAAGTTTGTATCGATTAAAATACTGTAAAAACACTTCTTTAAACATTCTAAGTGATTTTAATCGTTTCTTTCAAAGCAATATCAGTTAAAAACATTATTAAGAAAGTTCTTTGTCAAAATGCTTTTGTTTTTTATTTGTTTAAAACTATTTTTGAGGCATTTTGCAAAATGAATGAAGAAGCTTTATGCAGTGGAAAAGGTAAAGTGGTTTTACCTAAGCTTTCGTTAAGACACACTAAGTCTTCGAGCTCCATTCTTCCGAGTGACTTGTTTGATCTGTTGCGAGTTGACCTTTGACTTTATCTTTGACTTCATCAAATCACCGAGATCTTTGCTAGGATCACTTTCAGTCTCCCCTATTTGATGAAGACAAACACCATTTTGAAAAAACAATCTCTGCAAAATAAGTCACTTGATAATGTAGTTAAGTGAGAAATATAAGAATGTAATAAAGTTTTATTTCTCCCCCTAAAACTTATTTCTCCCCCTAAACTGTTGCTCTTAAATTTATCTTAAAGTGATGCAACTATTTCTCCCCCTTTTGACTTCATCAAAAATAGGGAATAGAAGAGAGAAGAATAAAATGTAAGGTTTCGAAAATATGCTCAAGTTTTTGAAAAATACAAAGTGAATCAATATTTCACTCATGAAAAGAATCAATTAAAGTTGATTCAAACTTATCTCCATTAACACGTTTGTAATGAATACAATTAACACGTGTAAAGATAAGGGAATCACGCTTTAGTAGCATGTTTACAGAAACAACCATTAACTAAAGCCTTTAATCTTTCTTCCCAGAATAAAAATCGATTAAAAACAGAGCATAATCGGTTAAAATGTTCTTGGTAAATGATTTTAATCGATTGAAAGAAAAGTTTAATCGATTAAAACATTTAAGATTTTGAAAACATGAAACTTTAGTAAAAATAATCGATTATTTCAATTTTGAATCGATTAAAACATGTTGAATAAGTTCATTTAATCGATTAACAAGATGTTGTATTGATTAAAACAATCAGTTTTGAAAATGAAGTAATGTTTAATGCATATTATGTAAAACTGATCATTTAGAAGGATGTTTTAACAATACTAACAGCTATATTGATTAAATCTTAGCTAATAGATCCATCAGAATAAAATCTTATTTAGCTAAAGCTCTCAGGGATCTATTTAAATTCTATCTAGATTAACTTTAAACCTTCATTATATAAATCAAGGCTAAAAATATTGTTTCTGTTTAATAACCAGTGATACTACAGATCATAAATTGAAATTAGCATCAAAAGGGATAAGATATAAAGGAAAGGTAAGAAGGGACCCTGTTTATCCACCAATATTTAATTATCCCAATTTCCTTGGTTTAGTTGCAAATCCTCCAGTTTGGTGTAAACGAATTTGTTCTTATTTCCCCGATTATTTGTGT